CCTCCTCCTCCTCCTCCTCCTCCTCCTCATCATCATCATCATCATCATCATCATCCTCTTCCTCTTCCTCCTCCTCCTCCTCCTCCTCCTCCTCCTCCTCCTCATCATCATCATCATCATCATCATCATCATCATCATTATCATTATCATCATCGTTGACGCAACGTCATCACTATATCATTACCACTATCGAAGTGACCAAGCTGTCATCGTTATATGATAATATCATCATCATTAATCCAGTCACCATTATCATCACTCGCATCATAAATCACATCCTCAACCATTACCACCACCACTGTAATCATCGTAAAAATATCTATCATGATCTGATTTTCATCGTCGGCAACATGATGATGATGATGATGATGATGATCATCATCATCATCATCGTCATCATCATCATCATCGATAACATCGATAACATCTACTGTCACCTTTCTCCTTCTCCTCCTCGCCCTCCTCCTCCTCCTCGCCCTCCTCCTCCTCCTCCTCCTCATCATCATCATCATCATCATCAACATCATCATTATCAGACCTCATCATCATCATCATCATCATCAGCGGCAGCAGCAGCAGCAGCAGACCTCATCATCATCATCATCATCATCAGACCTCATCATCATCATCATCATCACCATCATCAGTACCATAATCAATTCCATCATCAATTACATCTACCGCCTCCTTCTCCTCATAGCCATCATCACCAGACATCATCATCATCATCATCACCCTATGATTACTACATGGTTCATTGGCAACACCAAAGGGATTACAAACGACACATTACCTTGAGATTGCACAGCTGGGGAACCGCCTTCTGCACATGTTGTTGAACAAAGTAGAGTCCAACAGACGGCTCATTCGCTACTTGCTTCAGCACATCCGTTATCCTATCATTTACTATTTTTGGATTTACACACCACAAAAAAAAAAAAAAAAAAAAAGAGGAATGACACACACACCAACCACAAGAGCAAAGACCGCGATACATAAGAAGACCGTAAGAGCCGAATGGTCTCAATACACACACACACACACACACACACACACACACACACACACACACACACATGAAGGGAAGAGTCAGCAAAAGCCAAGCGGCATGGTACACGCATGGAACGACGGTTAATTAACTGATCCCGATTGATTCAAATCCCGATCGATTCAAATCCCGATTGATTCAGATCCCGATTGATTCAGATCCCGATTGATTCAAATCCCGATTGATTCAAATCCCGATTGATGCAGATCCCGATTGATTCTCCCCGATTCTCCCAAGTCTCCCCTGGCCCCAGATCTCTCTCAAGGGCTGAAGAAATTGTCCAGTTTTCGTTGACAACATCTCAACCCAAACACACCACTGCATCTATGCGCAAAAGCTGTCCACATTCAAGATTCTTAATCAGATCCTCTTTGCCTCTTGTTTGTTTTTTGGTGACTGTGCGCAAAAGCCGAATCTTGAATCTGGATGGCTTTTGCCGGAGAGAAGCGATGCAGAATAGCAGAAGCAATCCCAGTACAGGCAAAGAGGATTGGATTACGAATCTTGAATCTGGATGGCTTTTGCGGATACATGCAGAAGACCAGAACCAATCCCTTTTTTTTCTGCACCTCTCCGGCAACACGTCCAGATTCGTGCGACGTAAATCCAGAGTCCTCTTCGCTACTCTACTGTAGTGGGACCTCACCCTATGTCTCTTGAAGTTGAATACAACATCGGACTTCTTGAGAAAAAGGGAAAATTTTTCAAAAAAAAAATATATATATATCGCCTCCCTTTTTCATATTACTATACATACCCACACTTTGGTAGGATCGAAGTGTAGACTTTGGTGCTGCCGCTCCTGAATGCATCTGACCGTAATTACGTCTAGAGGGGACAGTCTGAATCCTTCACGGTTGTTGTGGATCTCATGACAAGACAACAATTCGTTTCAAAACTACTTTTCCTAAAWTAAAAAAAAAAAAAAAAAAGGGCGACATGCTTGAGATATCAGCTTTGACGTTTGAACTAACTGGCCCAGTTAAAATAGTTCAGAATTATTTATTTTACTCTGTTGTTAATCACATTGCAACTCGATTCGAACTTGGGTTTGCATTTTTTTTTTTTTTTTTAATTTGGACCATTTCCCGATTAATAATGCGTGTCATCCTTGAAAGCGCAGGGGCCATGCTAATCACCCCTCTCTGTATCGTTCCAATTTTAACGGATGTCCCGAAGGGCGGGTTTGCATTTTAACAGTGCGGGGGTGTAGCGTGTACCAACGGAGCTGGGCTCGTTGGTTCAAAACGACTCTTTTCAATAGACCGGGGGCCAAGTCGCACTGGCAAGGTAGAGTTTCCTCAACGCCTGTATCTGGACGTCTTTGTGGAGATGAGCAGTTGAGAAAACTCTACGCGATTTCTGCATATATCCACAAACACGACCAGATTCAGGCGTTGAGGAAACTCAATGTTGCTTATGGTAGTGGGACTTGCCCCCGGAGCAGGGCAGATGCTAGGACACACTACCGTCTTCACCCACCCGAATAGAACGCCCGGTAATTATAGCTGCTGTATTTGGCACAACTTCAAGACCAGATGCAGCGATAATGACCCGGCGTTTTATTCGGGAGAAGACGGTAGCG